GCTCTTCCCTGTGGTGATGTTTTTACCCTGAGACCAATTTGTGAGGTTCAAGCCTGCAAATCTGTGCATTAAATGCTGCTGCTTTCCCATCTTCAAAACATCCTCTGGGGCCCCTTTGCCCTCTCCCTTCCACCATCCTGTGGCTCCCAGGCCTTTCTTCCTGCTGCAAAATAAAACCAAGCAATAAGCTAGGTGGAGGCCCTCCGTGTCATGCTTCCCTGCCCTCTGCTGTGACTCATCAAGAGAACAGATGAAGGGCAATTATTGGCCGGGATGGGGACTCACTTCTTAACCCTCAACCCTTGCTTGTCTGGTATCTAACTAAAAGATCTGGGGCAGGGAAGTAGTAGCCGTTTCCTACAATGAAAGCCACAGCACGGGTCCAACAGCTGCTCTCAGCGATGACTAAGGCTCTTTTCCACATAGTCTTCCAAACTGCTGTCCTGCTGGTTCCATTTGTTGCAGCCGGAGGGGATTCAAAGCCTGCAGATGCCCCTCTCTCTGGCACAATTGCGAGGACAAACTCGGTATCTCTGTTCCTCCTCTCTAAAGCACCTTGCTGAGTGTCGGCAACCAAAGACGTGTGAGCCGTGTCGTCTCCCATCTCCCACTGCTGTAACCAGTGCTTTTTTTGTGATGGTACTGCCCAGTACACAGTACTGGCACCTCCAGACACAGTGCTGGCACCGCCAGTCAGAGCCCCTGGAGTACCGGCACCTTTTTTTTTTTTTTTAACAAAAAAAGCATCGTCCTGCTCAACCCTCACTTTTCACTCCTTGATTTTCCTTTCGATTTCTGTGGGGAGAACTGGCCTGGCTTGTTAGTCTGGGATCAGCATAGCCAAGGGGGCAGCTTGACCCCAGACAGACAGGACACGTCCCTTTAAAGTAGAGCCCCGCGTGGATACAAAATAACGTATCTGCAGCAGCGAGCCGTGGATACCCACGTCCCTGGGTGTGGAGCCCTGCGGATAGCTGGGGATTTGCAGAGCTCTACCTCTCCAATAAGGCAGGGCAGTGCCTAGCCGACACAACAGGCTGTGGCGTGAAGGGCTCGCCCTGCCCTTGGGACAGAGGGAGGGCCTGGGTTTCTCCTATGGTTACCAAGGGCTCCTTTGAGAAGCCATGAGGGGATGCCAGCGAGTGTTGTATTCCTTCCCCGTGATACCCCCTCAATAAAAGCACGCCAGCGATTGAAATAGTAGCCACCCTTATTGGGAGCTGGAGCTCCTGGCTGTAGAATACAAGAGACAGAGGAACCAACAGCGGACAGAACCCCTCTTCCCTTCGTTTTCTCCATGCTCCAGCTGTGTGTCAGGTGTGGGCTGAGTGTGATGGGCCCCAGCGCCCGGGGGCCACTGCTCTTTGCACCAGGAGGGGAGAGGTGGCCAGACCCAACGAGGGGGCATGTCTGTGATTCTCAGCACGATCCTGGGAGCGGAATGAAGGCGACGCAATCCCAACGGCAACTGCAGAGTGATTCTGTTCCCACGGGTGCATGCCCCACGGTGGGGAAGGTGCACCCCTGCACACAAACCAGGGCCCTTGGCAAAGGCAGCGGTGCAACAGGTGCTCGTTGTGGTGTGAGTCTAATAGGGAATACTGTTTACAAGAGCAGCGCAGCCATTGGGTGGAACCAGGGGTTGTGTTTGCACACGGACGGGTCCATTTCCGGGGCTGTGTTCTGGTCCATTTTTGTCTTGTCTAATGCCCCGGGACTCAGCCAGTGCTACTGCTGCTTTCTCTGTGCAAAGAGCCCTGCTACCCCTCGCACTGGGAACTGTGCGGAACAGCGGCAAGTTCCCCTGAAGCCAATGGGAGCAGCCGGTGTTTGGAATCTGGGATGTTGTACCCCGGTGACTGAATTTCCCCTTGTCTTGAGTCACCAGCTAAGAGGGGTTTGGGGATCCCCCATCTCTCCGAATACCAAAGACTCAGGCAGGCAGGGGCACTCCGAAGCACACAGGTTGTAACTGGTAGTGCTTAGCAGCTGTCCTGTCAGGGCAGGTTAAGGACAAAACAGGCGGTAAAGGCCAGGCCTGGTTCTGTTGTAACATGGACAGGGCGACCTAGTCAAGGATTTTCCACCTCATCTGCTCTCACACTCTGGTCTCCTGCCTTCCAGTGCTAGGGTGTGGCCCAGAGGGACTGGCGAGGAATAAGGGATCTTTCGGAAAAGGCTTTATTTTCCGAAAGATCCCCGTCTAGACTGGTGCTTTTTGCCGGCAAAGCCCCGAGCCGGAAAAAAGCAGCAGCCATGTTTATGCAAATGAAGCGGGGAAGATTTAAATCCCCGCTTCATTTGCAATTGCACTGTGCCTAATTTGCATCCCTTTTACGGAAAAGGGGTGCAATCTAGACACAGCCGGAATGTTTTATGCAAACTTGTGATGGCGACTTGTCCACTGACCAAGGTGTTTGTTATACTGGCTTCTAAGAGGACACAGAGCTCTTGGGGCATTTCACCACAGACATGGTGCATTGCGGGGGCAGTTCTGGCCTGGGGAGGAATGAAGGTGCCTTTGCCTTTTCTGACAACCAAGTGCTGGAAAGGAGTGTTCATAAAGTTTGACAGAGACATTTAAACCAGCTGTGCATTCATGAGTGTGTCTGAGCCACCCAGGGAGCTGCAGAACAGCAGTGAAGGGACAAGGAAATGGAAGCATTTCGTAAGGTAATCCTGTGAAGTGGTTGCATAAGCTAGTAGCAGTTATAGGGTGTCAGGTGCACTCACAGAAGTGCCCTCGAGATTGTTTCCTGGTGAGCTGATCATGCCACTGGTCCCACCTTCTTGCTCTCTGGGGCTTCCCAGCACCCTGTCCTGCTGGGCCAGATCCTCTCGTCTCCCCCAAACAAGGCACAGAGTTTGTGTAACTGTCCCCCTGCAAAACAATGCAGACACTGAGCCACTTCAGCTCTGGGAGGGCTCAATTCTAGAGCTCAGCGCTCAGGAAACCAACCCCCAAAAGGAATTCAAACCCCAAATACATCCGCCTTTCACTATGTAAAACATTTTTTTTAAAATAGTCCTAAAGCACTTTAAAGACTAACAAAACATGCAGATCAGTGTTTCTTATACTTTTTAAGACTGAAGAACACCAAACAATATTTTTTTTTATGGGGAACACCTAGGATTTTTTTGTTGAGGAAAAAAAAGCCCCCAGGGAAAAGTCGTTGAGAGGGGAAAAAAAAAGGAGGCTTGTCCCTTTAAGGGCAGCCATTTTGAATTCTGTTCTCTCCGCAGCACACCTCCGACTGCCTCACGGCACACAAACAGGCAGAGCACGTGGCAAGCCGTGCCCCACACTCCCCGTACAGCGTGGGTGCTGGGGCATTCCTAGTGCGGGGCAACGGTGCCCTGTCACACACACACACCCCTCCAGATTCCCTCTTACCCCTGGTTTCTTGTCCTCCTCATTCAGGGGTGATCTCAAAAAGAAATCTGTGTTTCCATGGTCCCAGCCCGAGTGATGGGCCATTTCAGAACAGTACGGCTGCAAAGCCATGTACCACCTCATGATGTGTGCGTTCATATCCTTCATCGTTTGAAGCCATCGTAAAGGTGCATGATCGGTAATTACTCGGAAACGGTTTCCTAAAAGATAATAATGAAGCATGTCAATAGCCTACTTTATGGCCAAAGCCTCCTTTTCAATAGTGGAGTATTTAAGTTCCCAAGGGAATAATTTATGGCTTATGTAGAGGATAGGATGTTCTTCCCCTCCTCTTCTTGGGACAACACCGCCCCCTAGTCTGACAGCCGAAGCAGCGGTATGTAAGATGAAGGGCTTTGTAAAATCAGGCTGTGGGGCATGGATCAGTTGGTCTTTCAACACGTGGAACGCCTGGTTGCACTCCGCGGTCCATTGCACCTTCTTGGGCAAGGCACTTCTGGTCAGGTCTGTCAGAGTTGCTGCCAGGGTCGCAAAGTTGGGGATGAAGTGACGGTAGCATCCGGCGAGCCCTAAAAATTGACGTACTTGCCTTTTGGTTGAGGGTGCCAGGTTGTCCCTCAAGGCTCTGACTGTGTCTACCAGTGGCTTCAGTTTACCCCTCTGTATGGTGTACCCCAGATATGAAACCTCACTCTCTCTGAAGCGTCACTCGCTGGGGTTTGCGGTGAGGCCAGCTTCCTTTAGTGTTGTCAGAACAGCATCTAGCCATTGGAGGTGTTCGGACCACGATACACTGTACACTATGTTGTCTATATATGCTGAGGCATACTGCCTGTGGTCTTGTAGCACCTTGTCCATTAGTCTTTGGAAGGTCGTGGCTGCCCCATGTAAGCCGAATGACATCTTCATGAACTGGTACAGTCCAAATGATGTCGAGAATGCTGTTTTTTCTTGGGAGGCTGGGGTCAGAGGAATTTGCCAATATCTCTTAGTCAGATTGAGGGTAGATATGTATTCTGCCACTTTGAGTAGGTCTAATAACTCGTCAACCCAGGGCATTGGGTAGACATTGAACCGAGATACTGCATTCACCTTTTGAAAGTTGATGCAAAATTGAGTCGACCTGTCAGGCTTTGGGACCAGGACTATGGGGCTCCGCCATTCACTACGAGACTCCTCCACTACACCCCAGTGTAGCATCTGGTGGAGCTCTTCCCAAACTGTATCCCACATTGTCTGGGGAAGGGGTCACACGGGGTCTCACACCTTTTTACCGGGCTCAGTCGCGATGTGGTGATATGCCAAAGTCATATGTCCTGGTTATGAACAATGAATATCTGCAATAGTCGGCATAGTTCAGCCTGTTGACTCAGCCCCAGCTCACGTCCCAACTATAGGGGCAATGGGTTAGCGTCTTCCGCTCCCCAGGGTCCCAACTCGGGTTCGGCGGGCCCCGGGTCAATCATTAAACCCTCCCGATTCTTCCAGGTCTTCAAGAGGTTGATGTGATAAACTTTGGTATCTTTCCACCTTCCCGGCATTCTTATTTCATAGTCAACCTCTCCCACTTGTCAGACTACCTCGA